GTATCTTACATAGTATCGTAGAGGTACGATACTCTTACATAGTATTTTACATAGTATCATAGAGGTACGATACTCTAACATAGTATCGTAGAGGTACGATACTCTCACATAGTATCGTACAGGTACGATACTCTTACAAAGTATCTTACATAGTATCGTAGAGGTACGATACTCTTACATAGTATCTTACATAGTATCATAGAGGTACGATACTCTTACATAGTATCGTAGAGGTACGATACTCTCACATAGTATCGTAGAGGTACGATACTCTTACAAAGTATCTTACATAGTATCGTAGAGGTATGATACTCTTACATAGTATCGTAGAGGTACGATACTCTTACAAAGTATCTTACATAGTATCGTAGAGGTACAATACTCTTACATAGTATCGTAGAGGTATGATACTCCTACATAGTATCTTACATAGTATCATAGAGGTACGATGCTCTTACATAGTATCTTACATAATATCATAGAGGTACGATACTCCTACATAGTATCATAGAGGTACAATACTCCTACATAGTATCGTAGAGGTACGATACTCTTACAAAGTATCTTACATAGTATCGTAGAGGTACGATACTCTTACATAGTATCGTAGAGGTACAATACTCTTACATAGTATCGTAGAGGTATGATACTCCTACATAGTATCTTACATAGTATCATAGAGGTACGATGCTCTTACATAGTATCTTACATTATATCATAGAGGTACGATACTCCTACATAGTATCATAGAGGTACAATACTCTTACATAGTATCGTAGAGGTACGATACTCTTACAAAGTATCTTACATAGTATCGTAGAGGTACGATACTCTTACATAGTATCGTAGAGGTACAATACTCTTACATAGTATCGTAGAGGTATGATACTCCTACATAGTATCTTACATAGTATCATAGAGGTACGATACTCTTACATAGTATCGTAGAGGTACGATACTATTACATAGTATCGTAGAGGTACGATACTCCCACATAGTATCATAGAGGTACGATACTCTTACCTAGTATCATAGAGGTACGATACTCTTACTTAGTATCATAGAGGTACGATACTCCTACATAGTATCATAGAGGTACGATACTCTTACATAGTATCTTACATAGTATCGTAGAGGTACGATACTCCTACATAGTATCTTACATAGTATCGTAGAGGTACAATACTCCTACATAGTATCGTAGAGGTACGATACTCTCACATAGTATCGTAGATGTACGATACTCTTACAAAGTATCTTACATAGTATCGTAGAGGTACGATACTGTTACATAGTATGGTAGAGGTACGATACTCTTACATAGTATCATACAGGTACGATACTCTTACATAGTATCATAGAGGTACGATACTCCTACATAGTATCATAGAGGTACGATACTCTTACATAGTATCGTAGAGGTACGATACTCTTACATAGAATCTTACATAGTATCATAGAGGTACGATACTCCTACATAGTATCATAGAGCTACGATACTCTTACATAGTATCTTACATAGTATCATAGAGGTACGATACTCTAACATAGTATCGTAGAGGTACGATACTCTTACATAGTATTATACATAGTATCGTAGAGGTACAATACTCTCACATAGTCCTACATAGTATCATAGAGCTACGATAGTATTATACATAGTATCGTAGAGGTACAATACTCTCACATAGTATCGTAGAGGTACGATACTCCTACATAGTATCTTACATTATATCATAGAGGTACGATACTCCTACATAGTATCATAGAGGTACAATACTCCTACATAGTATCGTAGAGGTACGATACTCTTACAAAGTATCTTACATAGTATCGTAGAGGTACGATACTCTTACATAGTATCGTAGAGGTACAATACTCTTACATAGTATCGTAGAGGTACAATACTCTTACATAGTATCGTAGAGGTATGATACTCCTACATAGTATCTTACATAGTATCATAGAGGTACGATACTCTTACATAGTATCGTAGAGGTACGATACTATTACATAGTATCGTAGAGGTACGATACTCCCACATAGTATTAAGAGGTACGATACTCTTACCTAGTATCATAGAGGTACGATACTCTTACAAAGTATCATACATAGTATCGTAGAGGTACAATACTCTCACGTAGTATCGTAGAGGTACGATACTCTTACAAAGTATCTTACATAGTATCGTAGAGGTACGATACTCCTACACAGTATCGTTGAGGTACAATACTCCTACATAGTATCGTAGAGGTACGATACTCTTACAAAGTATCTTACATAGTATTGTAGAGGTACGATACTCTTACATAGTATCGTAGAGGTACAATACTCTTACATAGTATCGTAGAGGTATGATACTCCTACATAGTATCTTAATAGTATCATAGAGGTACGATGCTCTTACATAGTATCTTTAATAATATCATAGAGGTACGATACTCCTACATAGTATCATAGAGGTACGATACTCTTACATAGTATCTTACATAGTATCGTAGAGGTACGATATTCCTACATAGTATCGTAGAGGTACAATACTCTTACATAGTATCGTAGAGGTACGATACTCCTACATAGTATCGTAGAGGTACGATACTCTTACATAGTATCATAGAGGTACGATACTCCTACATAGTATCATAGAGGTATGCTTCTCTTACATAGTATCTTACATAGTATCATAGAGGTACGATACTCTTACATAGTATCGTAGAGGTATGATACTCTTACATAGTATCTTAAATAGTATCGTAGAGGTACGATACTCTTACATAGTATCGTAGAGGTACGATACTCCTACATAGTATCGTAGAGGTACAATATTCTTACAAAGTATCTTACATAGTATCATAGAGGTACGATACTCTTACATAGTATCGAAGAGGATCAGGAATTCGGATCTGATTTTAATTTGATTGCCTCCCTTCCTTCTGCATACTTCTGTAATAGCTAATTGCACATCAGTCATATTCATGATAAACTTAATAATTTCGATTAATTATTTGTTATTTTATTTTTTTAAAAACCCTGAAATTGTAATGAAAGAAAGAATGATATAATATATAGATGGCCAGAACGAGATTCAAACCTGGGACCCTCTGAACCCTTGATGAATTTCTATATTATGATAAAAATATTCTTACTTTCCAGGTATTGTATGACATGAAGGGGCCGATTGGGATATTCTAGTTACCATGGTACATAATGTATATCCACTTGTAGACGGTTTGTGCTCTTTTAAGATTAATTGCAGTTAAATTGATAAAAGTTCAGTTTGAGTGGTTAGTTAACATATTTTCAAGATATGAAAAGAATTTTCATTGACTAAAATTAATTCTATATTTCTGATGGGTTGTTTTAGGATATGAAATCAACTTTTGTCATCATCCTTTGATTGCTGATTTGAATAGTTTGGCTGTCTATAGAAATTGTTTGTTGATTATATATTACATACATGATGCAAGTTTTCACTGTAGCTGTCAGGATTGGATGCTGCAGCATTATTTCATCAATTTCTTCTTCAGACAACTGCTGCCTCAGTTTCCATCTGCTTCCCGTGAAACGGGGAAAGGGTGATCACATGCAGATGTAGATGTGAAGGTGCTTGAAACATGTTGATCTGATAATTATTTACAGAGTTATTGCCCTTTGTGTCCGGACAACGTATCCCTAAGTTCCCGTCCTTAGTACTTACTTAGTACTTGCATCATTTGTTCTTCTACTTCTAACTTCTAAATGGTACTGACCAACTTCAACAATTTGAAGATAAAATGTCAGACGAGGAGTGAAACATGGAAAGAGATTGTTTTTAAAAGATACGAGATTGTCTAATTTGCGTTTGAAAGGTGACGGTAGAGGGATGATTTGAATAATTCTGTTTTTGGGCTCAAAATAATGTCAGGTGAGAGTTTATGCCACTCGGGTATAGTTCGATGGAAAAATGATGCCTTTCTGGTCTGGGTTTTTGAGTGGGGAATTT